TTTAGGAAAGCCTTTATTTATCCCGGTGACGTACAGGACTAACAGCAGTGGAAATTTCCTGGTGCTCTGGGCCAGTGCCTGGATCTCGTCTGAAACCATCTCTGAGGCTCAGAGCATTGTCCCTCTGCAGCTCTCCCTCTGCCGAGATGGGACAAATTGCTGCTCTTCTGAGAATGTTTTCCTGTGCTTGAGGTGGTTTTCCCCCGTTATCCTCTTCAGAGGTCACAGAGCAGCAGTGGCAGCAGCAGTTGCTGCACACGTGGGTGGATTCAGGTGGATTCCTGGGATGGGCTCCACGTCAGAGTACCGAGAATCCTCCCATCTTCTGTCTGCCTGGAAAACTGTGGCATTAAATCTGATTCCTACGTTGTAGCAACCAAATGTTTCAGCCTCACAACTCTGTGTGTGTGGCAGGAACGGCCCTGGAGGTTTTTTTCCTGTTCCAACCTGCTTGCCTCACTATTGCTGTTTTAAGATCCTCCCCATGGACACTAGTAAGGGTTCAAGACCATCCTGCTCATGAGAATCCCAAAGAGAATTTCCATTCGGGGTCCAGAAAAAACTTTATTGACACAGTTCTTTCATCCCCAGTGTGTCCAGAAGTGCTTTTCTGAAGTGATCAGAAACTTGCCTTCATAGTTGCACAGATTCTTTTCATGGCTGAGAGTTAAATGCAATGAGCTTGAAATATTGCTGCACAGAGCTCAGCAGCCAGCTTCTCTCTAAATTAAAGAGTCCATTTTAAAGAATAATAATAAAAAAATAATTAACACAAGAATGCATGTTTGCAGCCCTATTAGTCAGAAGCAAGTGAGGTAATGAGGAAGATTAAAATCAGTGCTGGCCTTTCCTCTGAGAAGTTTATGGGCATTTAATGAATTTAAATGGGAAAAGGAAGCTGGTAATTGAATTGTTAGTTAGAACTTTATTCAGCAGGGAGTGAGTGATTTCTGTTGGCTTTCACTGCTGTGCTCCCCTTTGTCACCTCAGCCTGTGCACTGGGAGCACTGGATCTGTATTTATGTAACTGGGAAAACATGGGAAGTGTGTTATTGATTCCATTGATTGGAAACATGTAATTAGCACCGAAAAAAGATGAGCTGGATGGGAATCATGTCATGCTCAACAATTATAAGGGAATGTGTGAGGGGGAAAAAAGGGATTCTTACTGGAAACTCTGGCTGGGTGATTTACACCAGTCCATACAGACAGAGAACAGCAGAGCAAAGTGAGCCCCAGCCCACACAGCTGGCAGGGAAAATGCTGCAACCTGAATTAATTTTCATTAAAAAGGTGTGTGAAGCAGCAGGAGGAACAACTGCAGCTCCCTGCAGATGGAAAGGGCAGTGGTAGGAAGGCACCAGCAGGGAAAATGCTGCGAATTGGTGCTGTGGAGAAAAGGCAAATGAATTTACCCTGTCAGCTGTGGGAGGTTGCTCTTTATTGTAGGCTGTGTGTAGCTAATGTGTATGGGCCCTTGTGGCTTGGGGGATTGTTGGTTTGGGTTGGGTTTAGCGCCTGAAAACCCTTGGAAACTACTGGGAAAATGTTACGACTGTGAGCTCTCTGGCCACTGACATCCCTGCAGAGAAACCCAAAGGAACTTTTCCCTCCTCCCAAAGGTCAGCCCGCTCGCCACGAAAACAACAGATGTTGAAAGGAAACCATCTGAAGATGTAGGGTTTCAACTGGCAGCAGGGGAGGATGGGCTGCCAAAATGCATCTTTGCTTTGTGTTTCTGAAAGCCTCAGTTCCTCCTCTTGGGAGACATCCCTGTTTGGCCCCTGCACGGACACACTGGGTTACATTTAATCTGCTGTGGTGCAATGGGAAGGCTCGGGCTTACAAAAAACTGGCCTGTGGAGCAGATCCAGGGCAGTTGGCCCATGGAAAGCTCTGCACTGCTCTGCTTTTAGCACTACTGGGGATTTTGGAGGTGTGTCAGTGAAGGAATCAGATGAGGCTCTTTTGCAATGGGGATTTGGCCCCTGGAATTCCCAAATGCAGGGTTTTTTTGTCTTTGTGTGAGCATCCCAGTAACTAAAGGTGCTTCACAGAACCCCGTGCGCACAAGGAAAGTTTAAGGAAAAAGAGATTACGGGAAAAGGGATCTGTGGGAATAACTGAAAAGGCAGAATTTCAAGGACAACTGGGAGAGCAGATGTGAGTTCTCACTGAGGGTGTGGGATGGTTCCCAAACTCTCTAATTACTTTGTAATAAGTTGTACAGGATCCCGTTTAATTATGGCACCTACGTGCAAAGAAAGGAGAAGCATTTTGTGAATGCAGTGGCCAGAGCAGGAGAGTAATTGAAATGTTAATTCTAATCATATGCTATGCTCATGCATTGATTTTTTAATTCATGCTATCCATTAATTAGTTAGTGCCTGTAAAGCACACTGAAGATAGAAAATTACTGTGGACTATTGTTACTGTCGTTATGCACTAAGTTAATTAGTTCCTGCAGGTTTTAATCGGATTATTGAGATGTAAACTTAGCGAATATGATTCCGGAGCAAAGGCTGTCCTGGGAATGGTGGCGAAGGGAGCAGCTGCAGTGCCCATGCACCCAGATCAGAACACTGGCTGCCCTGGGCACATCTTCTTAGAAATCTTCTCAGGCTGGTCCTGTGTGAGCTTCCCTCTGCCCTGGAGAGCTCTGTGGTTAAGCCCAGCCTAGCACACGTTCAGCCCGGCCTGGTGAGGGGGTTACTGCAGAAGGGGCTGTCACAGTGCTGAGCAGTGATTTATGTCCCTGGCAGATGAGGAACAGGAAGATTAGAGCACAAAGATGAGAAGAGTCTCAGTTTCCCTGTGGGGCCAGCACATTTCTGTCACCCTTTGAAGAAGGGGAGTTGTCTTTAAACCAATAGTATCTTTACCAGGATCTGGTTGTAGTTTTTTCCTTTTTCTCTTTCTCTGTCTGTAATCATGATGAAACCTGACAACTTTGTCCTTCCTTCTTGTCCGAGCTTTGGAAGGTTGTATGGAAAATAACTGTTTCTATTCGGCCTTATTTATTTATTTATTTCAAAATAGCTCCTTTTGAGGGAAGCATCAACACCTGATCCTCTTGAAAGAAAACCTCTGGGAGGTTTTCCTTTCAGTTTGGTCCAGACTGCCTCCCCCTGCCCCCGTGCAAGATCAGGGATATTCTGGGTTTGTGTGAAGTTGAAGATCCCTAGTTCCAGAGCCTGCTTTATTTGCAAACCACTCATTTCTCAGCTGCAGATCTTCCCATGGCTGCAACAAGGCTTTGGGATCTGCATCTTTGCTGAATGTTTTGATTGTAGTGCTTATAAGACCCCCTGTTAAAAAAAATCACCCAACAAAACATAAAGGCATTACAGTGGAAAAAGGAATACAAATACATTTGCTCTTTTGTAAAAGACATTTATCAAAGTCCAATCAGCTGGGATTTTCTGGTACATGGCTGACTTGCAAAATTCCTTTTGGCATCTTTGCATTTTTTGCAATGTAAGGAAGCACCACTTGGATTACTGCAGCTGTAAGAGGATTCCAGTTGACAAGAGAAAAGAATAGGCAATGTGATTTTTTTTTCTGAATTCTTTTTATGTTACCTATTTCTCTCTTCTGACTTTGTTTCTGTGGTTTTCTCTGTGCAAAATGTCAGCCTGCTTTTAGAAGGAGGTCAGGAATAAGGCTGATAAACAAGTATTTGAGCAGGGTACAAGTCCAGTGTTCCTTGCAAATAATGGAAAGTCACATATTGGTGAGTTTTGGGACAAATTCTAAAATATCACTGCTGTCTGCTTCCACAGCACTGAGTTCCTGGTAACAGCAATAAATTCCTGCTCTGCTTGAAAACCCAAAGGAGCCCAAACCCCCCTCGTTTCAGTGCCCATCTATTGGTGCAGCAGCACTTCCCAGAGCTGGTGCATCTCCTCTTGAATTGATTACATAAAAATAGCTCAGAGGAGGATGCTTAGATTAGAAATCCTGATTTGGGTGCTCGTTTCTGTTTTGCTGCTGCTGTTCCTCAGCAAACAGAAGTGTGTACCATTGCAACAGGGTGTTGTAAGATGCGGTGTGTAATGTTTAGTTAGCACTGGATAGAAGAGTTCACTTGCCTAATATATCAAACACAGCTTAATTAAATATTTAATGGATTTTTCCCCCTGCGAGGAACCAGCAGAATAAGTAAGGAGTGTGTTCCTGGAGATGAAAGTTGCAGAGGAAGGTGATCTGTGGGGATCACTGTCCATTCAATAACCTCACGAGCTGCCTTCCCAATTACTGTGCTCCTTCCCTCCCAGTGTGCTCTTGTGTACATTAATATGGATAAACATATAACCAGTGAGAACTTCAAAGTAGCACTGGTGGGAAATGTTAAGTTGGGTCCTGTTTGCTGAGCTGGCAATAAAGTTGTGCTTTGTTCCTCCATTAGTTGGGTGTGAGTGTGGGTTTACAGTGAGAAATGCCCGTATATGACATGGGACAGTCTCTATATAACTAGAATTCTGCCCCTTCCCCTGCACTTTGCAGGAACCAGAGGTCTGAGGTGCAGCTTTTAAATTCTAGGGGCATTTTCTAGGAGCAACAGCTTTTCTTGTTTTTCTCATCAAAAATAATCTGTGAATAATAGTTTAAAAAAAAAATGACAAAAGGGATCTTCTCCTCTGTGTTGCCTTCACTGGGCACTTCCCCTGAGAAGCAAACAACATTTTGGATAAGCCCAAAGGGCTCTGAGTTCCAGCTTCTTCCCCTGTGTTATTAACACGTTGCACCAGCTCGGTGTGGGGAATTGCCAGTGAACTGGAGGCCCAGGGTTTGTTCAGGTGTGTGATCTGTACTCTAAAAAATATTGCAGTGGTTTCTAAACTGCTGTGGCAGCACAGGGAATACATTCAGTAGGAAGTACCATGTTCTGTTTTCTACTCAAGGACCAGTGCTTGGCTGGAAGAAATGGTTTTCTTGGTGTTTTTAAGTGAGTCTAGGGAAATCTTCAAAAGAATCTGATTTTGCTTCTCTGTAAATAGGTAATCCCAGCAGAGATGGGAACTCCTCAGAACGGGAAGTTTGGATAATTTGGGAATCCCTGGAGTTGTTTCCCACTGTGGAAGTTGTCGGTGTGAAGCTGCAAGGGACAGGGAGAAATCAGCTGCAGTGCCACTGGTGTCTCTGTGGTAAAGGGGTAAGTGGTGGATAAATAACCCATGGTTCCACAACAGCCCACCTTACTGCAGGCAAAACCCGAATTTTTGGGAGATTTGTTGAGACTGCAGAGGCTATTTACAAAATCCTGCCCTGCCAAGGAAGGAGGTGGATATAAAAGGCCATCATGGAGCCATGGGAAAGCCAGAATGAGTGAGTGGATGACTGATTTAAATATTTTGGATAAACTGAGATGATTCTAAATGAAAAAATAGAGTTACAAACCACTGGAGATCTGTCCCATGTACTCTTGTTGTAGATTAGTTTTACTTAAGCAAACATATCTTTATAAAAAATGCAATGAGCAATCTCTTTTTCATAAAAAGGGTTTATTAACAAATATCAATAATGCCACTGAAGAGGCAGATTCAGCAGTCTTTTCATAGAAAAAAAGAATCTCATAGGTTCAGGGAAATGATAGAAGAGTGTGGAGGCTTGGATGAAGAAGAGTCCTAGGGAGGAGTTCCAGAAGCTCCTGGGAAGTGTCCAGCATCCATCAGGGCAAGGTGTTTTCCTGGGTTGCTGCTTGCAGACAGTGGTGCCTTTCTTCCTGGCATGGTATTGCTTAACTTCCAAACCTTTTAAATTCTTTGCCCAGGATTTATCCTGCCTTAATCTCATTCCAATGCTTGTGCTTCCTAAGTAAGTTGTAAATGCTTCAAGCTCTGTTGGTGTTTTAGGGGAGGACAGAAGTCTCCAGCTTCACCTCCGTAGACACTGTGCCAGTATTTCCACTTTCACAGGGCTGGGGAAGCAAAGGATGATGCTGCAGGGTGTGCACCTTGTCTCTTTTCCCACCCCATTGGCTTTTACTTTATTTCCACCAACAACAGTGGACAGAAGCAGTTGGCCCCTTGTTAACTCCCTAATCCCACGTGCACACAGAGCAGAGTTCCCCAGGGCTGAGGGGGAGCACGGCTCAGAGAGCCCCACAGATGCTGTTTCTGCACTGTTATCTCTCCAGAAAACTTGCCAAGCTCTCCACAATAAATCAACCCATGAAAGTGTTGTAATTAAGGATTTCACTCTGGCATCTATGGATGCCTCTAAGTCCTTGCTTTGGGAATGTTTTCTGCTCAGCTGGAGAGGTGCCTGTTTCCATATTTCGTTTTGTCTCTGAGGACCAGCCCTCTCCCCCCTTGTTTAACCTTGGGCACTTAGAGAGCACGTTCATTTACACCCCCTCACTGACATTAACAAACAGGGGTAGGATTTTGGCCAACCCCTGCAGGAGCAATTTCCCTCTCAGTTTGAGTGGCAGCATCTTTTCCTGGCAGTAATCCGTGACTTGGGGATCCCAGGTTTGTCCTGGAGGAGGAACATAAAACTGTCTGAAGTTTTAAAAAGCCCAATGACTAATCCAAGATGAGCTTTTTTATCCTCCTCTCCAGATTGTTAATTTTTCTAGTTTTCCTTTGCATTTTCTCTTAGTTGGAAATACGTGGAATATTTTTGTCTCTCCAAAGTGTTTGTGGGATGAAAAGACAGCATGTTGGCTGGTTGGGTTTGTTCCAGGTTGTCTGTTTACTCACCTGTGGTCAAGCCAGGAGCAAAAGGTGAGGATTCTGTCTTTAAATGTTTTGGATACAAAGGTGTCTGCACTGAAGGATTTTGCTTCTGGCCAGCTTTAGCTGGGTGGAATTATCCATAATATCCCTTGTGCACTGGCAGTACCAGTCTGTTAATTTTTCTTTGCGCTGACACTCTGTGAACACTGCGAGAGGCTCCATTAGGAGAAGTCCAATGTTGTACTGTAAAATATTCCTCTGTGAATGCATTGGTGTAATTTATGCTGGGACAGTGACTGCAGGAGTGGCAGTCAGGGTTGGAAAATGAATCCTGTGATGGTGAAAGAGCTGGGGAACATTGCAGGGGAAGCTCTACCCCTTTTCCTGGGAAATCAGCACAACTGGGATTAGACAGCAGCCAGTGTGGGTGATGCTGTGTTGGGTGTCAGCTACGGACACACGAATGATGGGTAGAACATCTAGAAGCAACTGTAACTAAAATTACTTGAACTTTTCATTTTTAAACTCCTTCCACTTCCTTCCAATTTGGGAATGACATTTTTCAAGTCTGAACTCTTCTCAAAAGTATTTTTGGAAGGTCTGAACAAAAACAGTTTAGCCATCTTTGTGTAAAATGACTGCTAGGAAAGTACTCAGCTCTGACACATTTTTGGCAGGGAGCTATTGAACAGCTTTAGGGCCTTGTTGGAAGTGTCCAAAAGTGTTTTTCAAATCATCATCTAATTATTATTGGTTATAATAATGGACACTTTTTCCTGAAGCATTTTGATTTAAAAGTTTCTGGTCAGTTTTCAGTTAATTGTTTATTTCATAGAAAGAAATTAATTAGGACTTGTAAAAACCTAACATCATATGACCTTTCAACTGAATTAGAAGAAGAAGAAAAGCCTTAATTTATTGCTGCCTTTTCGCCTAGCTGTTCTTTTTTAAGTTGCATTTAAATAGAATATATTTGGGCATGAAAGTTGACAGCTCCTTTTTCATGGCCTTTTACTGTATTTTTGCTGTGGCTGGTCAGATGCTTTTATCTAAAGCTTTGTTCTTTGCGGTGGAAAAAAATTCCAGAGGATTTAAGAGAGTGATAGAGTTTTCAGAGAAAATAAAATTTTCACACAGTACTTGGGGCTGGTCAGGAAATGGGATTTCATGCTGGCAAAGCTCCGCGCTTTGTTGGAGCTCTTGTTGGCAGTGGTGGAATTTGGGGTTCGTCCCGCAGCTCAGCCGACATTCCCACCCTTCTGTGCTTCCCACTGTGCCACAGGGACTCTTTGGAGTGGGTGTGGTGGGTCCTGAGTAGAGCCTGGAGCTGTGGGAGCAGCTCAGGTGTGATTGCCATGCCCAGGCAAGGGAGGAGCTGGGCTGCCTTGGCTGGGTCATCCTGGGAGCCAGCTGGATGGAGCCATGGGAGGCTGGAGGTACCTGGGAGATGGATCAGCTCAAAGAACGTCTCTGAATGCTGTTTGGGTGGGGAAACCGCTTGGTGTGGGGAAAAGGCAAAGCGTGGCCCACGGTGGAAAGGAGCAGGAGAACTTCTGTTGTGATGGAGGGACAGCTGGCAGCTGAAGGGAAGGATTAGCAATAAGAACAGAGGAGCAGTGTTTGATTTAACCATTCTTTGGCAACTCTTAAATTGGACTAAGAGCAGAAGGTAATCCTTGGCTAGTCTGGTCCTGTAGCATGGGCAGGGAAGTGCTGGCTGGGACAGTGACGTGGGACAGGTAGGGCACAGCTGGTGCAGCTGCCTCTGCAGAGCCAGCCCTGCTCATGGGGCTACAGCCTAGTGATCTGCCAGTGCTGGCATTAAGTACTTTAATTTTTCCTCTCAAGAATGAGACATCTTCTTTAATCCCACGTAATTATAAAATTGCAAAGTCGGAGGTAGCAAGGGCCCATTAGGTGAGGCAGCTCCTGTGCCCTCAGGGGATTGTTCAGGGGAACTCGGTGATTGAGAAACGGGGATTCAACCAATTACTCACCTCGTAGTCTTGGTTCATCACTCCTGCCACTGAGATCCCTCGTGTCATCTTTCTTTGCGAGCAGCATGAACGGATTATCAAGTTTCATTCTCAAATCATCTGCAAGGCAGATTTATGCAGAGCCTTTGTATCTCTAAGCAAATTGGGGAATGTGAGTCTCTCGCTACCACGCGGCCGAGTATTCCTAAGGAAGGGCTATTAATAGCCCGATCCTAGTTCCCGCGGGGGGCTCATCTCATGGCATGCGACCTCCCTCTGGAGCGGGGAGCCGCGCCGAGGAGCGGTGCGGGGCTGGGAGTGCGGGAGCCGCGCCGAGGAGCGGGGTGCGGCTGTGAGCGCCGAGGCGGTGCCGGCGGGCGGTGATGTAATGGGAGCTGTGGAGACCGGCCCGGCGGGGGCACCGCGCTGCTCCGCGGGCGGCTGCGCCCTCCCTGGGTCCCGCGGGGCGGGGCGGTCCCTGAGC